ATCCAGTCAGGAGTTCGCTAGAAAAAATAAAGCACCAAGTCAGATATTTTGATTCTTGTGTTGGGTGAACCAGCTCATGTGCTTAAGTTACTGACATTTTGAAGCCTGTTATGCCTCCTGCCATGTCCCCCACATTAGACCCAGTGTGCTGTAAAACATTGATGCTGTTTAAAGAGTGGTGTGACTGTTTCCTCCCCTCCAGAAGGGATACATATCCTCACAGGATCCTTTTTCTCATAACATGCTTTTCAGTAAAATTTTCCCAATTTTGTAATCAGTTGGGAAGAAAGAACATTTCACAATGTTCATAAGGCTTGTAGATGTTTTGACCAGACATAAGATTTCCTATTGATAGTATTAAATGCTTTGGAATGAAATGTTTTGGGTTTTCCATCTGTAGGCTGTCTGAGATGTCAGCAGCCAATGTGACCTGCTCTTAAAAATAAAAGGCAGCTTGTTTAACTGATCTTGCAGCAGAGAGCAGAGGTGTATATTAATGAGCTTTCTCTAATGGCACACTGGACCTATTTAGCACTACAACTGTGAAGGCTTCTCTTTTTCAGTCATAACTCATTTCCTAAGAAAACGTCGGTTATTGCTTCACCTTATGGTCTGAGCTGTTTAGTTTATAGTTTATTTCTTCTGATCTGTACCACTGACAGATATTGTAGACATGACTGGGACTAAATACGCTTATGAAAATGGTAAACATTTGATAATATAAACCCTTTTGGGAATATGCTGTTTTTTCTGCGTGGCAAAATTCTCAGGTGCATTCCAAGTATAATGTGGAAGCAAAGAAAAAAACATTTTAAGCAATTACAGTGATTAGATTAAATTGTTTTGTTAGGAAAATTGTGATGTGTTTAGATCACTGTGAGATAATTTAGTGTTTTCATAAATATGCCTTTTAAATGCATGATATTGCAGCAGTTACACTCCAGTGAGATTTCACTGTAAAATAAAGGTAACAGGCATTTCCTTATGGTAGTGAACTGATTTAGTCCTGTAAATTTCTCCAGCATCTTTTTTTCCTGGTAGAAGCCCTATTCTAAAAGCAGCAGTAGTTATAAAATCCAGTAATTGCATCATGGTATTTACTGTAATCATGTGGCATTGTTTTGTGTCTGTGCTCAGATGTGAGTAGCATAGCAGTGTGTGAAGCACACATTTACAATTGTGCCGTAAAGACAAAAGTAGTAATTGCAGTATAATTATTATTTTTATTGATGAACAGAGCTCTGTTGACATTTACAGACTTTGAGGATCATGCAGCTTTTGTTGCAGTTATCCCAGGCCTCAAATGTCAACAAAATGTTTTAAGATTGTAGGATTAAGCAGTGACAGATTGGGGCCAGATGTCTGGGAGATACTCTAAGTGGCCTTCTCAGTTGATCAAACAGCTCTTACCATCCTAAAGCTCTTCGGAAACTGAACATTTGTTCTTTGTAGTTGAAGCTGAGAAGTTCTGGGATTGATGGATCTTCCTGGAGGTTATTTGAGAAGGAGCACGAGCACCCCATTTATCCAGGAGTGGTTTTATTTGATGTATATATAAATACACTCCAAGTAGCAAGGGTAGGAGGAAGGGTTAAAGGTGTTGGTGAGTGGCAGTGAAGCCCAAGAATTACCTTACAAAGTCATCCTAACAGTTTCCTCAGCGCCCCAGTTGGAGTTACCTTGTCCTTGTGCAACTGTGCGGGTGAGACCCTGCTGTTTTGGGAAGCTGGGTCTCAGCAGTACTGTCTCCACATGTGGATTTTTGAAGGAAAACTGCAAGGGACACAGTCACCAGATCCAGCAAGAAAGAGCAGTGCTGAAATAGGTTGTCCTGGAGTCCTTCGAACTGGAGACCTTTCTGCAGCTCCAAGTGGATTCTCTCAGCCCTGTGCTTGCCAGCTCTTTGCACCAACTCCTCCCTCTCAGGCCTTTCACCTTCACCCTTTACATCACCTTCCCCTCTTCTCATCACCTGCCAGCGAGGTTCTCTCCCCTTTCTCCTTTTCCATTGATTTTTTTCCTATTTAGCCAACCCTGCCTTTAGCAACCCTGCCTCCTTGAGCACACGAGCACTGGAATCGTATCGTTCTCTTTGCTGGTGTATTCTCCCACCATATGTGTTTAGAGTGAATTTATCACTGCATTGCAACTGACCCACTCTCTGTTATCCAGCATAATAGAGCTGGATCATAAACATAGTAGAAATTAGGAAATAAGTAAGAAAAGCCCTTAAAGTCCAGGCATACGTGGTGATGGAGGAACCTTACTGCTGAAGGCATCACACCTTTGGGTTTTGTGTTTGTACCAAAAAAAGGCTGTTGACCACAGTAAAAGCCCAATAAACCCCTGTCTGAGTATTGCTGCTTACATCGTAGCTCTGAGCATTTATGGTAGGGCCTGTTCCTTCCCTTCCTAAAATCCCGATCCAGCACTCAGCAAACTCTTAAACATATGTGCTTTCATGTGTTTTATGTTAAGCTTGTGTTTAGATGTTTTAGGACATTTGCCATTGGCATTTTTGCTACTGACATCAATGAGAATGGGGCTGGACCTTTAATTAGTTTGGATTATTCTGCATACTTTCCTACTTTGCATTAGGCTGTCGATAGGGGCTGAAGACTGGTAATCCATTAGAAAAAACATTCTGAGGCTCAAGATCCTCCATTCATGACTGAGAAATCACTTCCGTGACCTAACAGGTCTTCCAGGTCTGAGACAACATGGAGAGAAGGCGGCTCAGGGCATGGAGTGTCACTGTCGTGATTTTGGTACCAGCAGGGTACAAAGTGCCCCAAGGTTCTGATAACGAGGAAGGGTGCTGTGTAATGTCCTCCTGGGCTAGGTGTTCTGATGCCTGTATGCGAGACCCAGAAACTCCTTGAGAGAGGAGAGTGGAGTCTGCGGCGGGACTCGTGACAGTCAGGGCAGAGCCTGCTCAGGTAGGGGGAAGGCATGGCACACGTGGGGGGACAGCACGAACAACTGAAGGGAAGCGCTTGCTCTTGCTGCTCACCTGGGATTTGGGCGAATGAGGTTGTAGAGCTGAGCTGTAAAATGAGGACTTCAGCATATTTGCCCATTTCAGGTTGCTTCTTTCTGAATCCTTGCCAGATTGTTAATGGTAATTAAGAAGAAAGTTGGCGGTTTTTTAAGCTTTGGTGGCTTGGTCACTTCCAAAACTCTCTCACCCCCCTGCACCAGCTCAAGTGTTCAAATGAGAGTCATGGCCAAAAAACAAACTTCTGAAGCCATAGGCTGCATGTGTCCAGATGGTGGATCTATCACTATAGTTGTGATGTGGAAAGGTGGAACTATGTACATAACAGGTCTGTACACAGAGACCCAAAATACACCCTTCAGACAGATTAAATATCTGCCCAGAGAGTGAAATATTTCAGGCAGTAAAAGCCATAGTGATCCTTTCATGTATGAGTGGCGGAGAAAGGCAGAAATTCGCAGTCTGCCAAATGAAGTGCTAGCTTGAGAATTCGGATCCCTTTGTTCACTGTGTTGAGATGCTTAAGACACCCTGGTGTGAGCAGGATGCGATGGACCTTTGTCCATCAGTAGTTAAAATCGCCTTTGTCAGGCACCAGACCAGGTGCCTCCAGCTTACAGCATCTTCTAGGCTGCATCTGCTCTCCCTTCCCAGCCCTCTGCCTGCGGCAGCTGAGCCCGAAGTTTGCGCGCACCAATATATGTGAGAGAGGTGTGCGCAACAAATGGAGTGTGACAGGGATTGGCAGGGCTGTCATTTCTGTGGTGCCGTCTGGAGAACCACGGGGAATGAATGGAAAGCTGCTGAACACAATCCCGATGCAGCAGAAGGAAGTGACAAAGCACTCACTAATTTTGTGAGGATCAGGATTTAGCTCTTTATGAGCAAGAATCGTACAGAAAAAATCTGACTTCCAGAAATAGCAGTTTTAGGACACACCTACCTTCTTTTCAAAATTTTAGAGTTGATATGAAGGTGAATTGGGTTGTGGTTCCCAAATAGGAGCCAGGGTTTTATCTGTATGGAGACGCTAGAAGATCGGCAGTGCCATGAAGCCGCAAAGCATATGTGCACCGCCACACGTGAGTATGTGTGCACAGAAGTATCTGTGCACATGTGTAAGTATCTGAGTGCAGTTTAAGGGTCTGCTGGTGCATGGATGTGCACGTACTTGTGCCCCCCTCAGTTAGTTCCCAAAGCCCATCGTAGAGACGTTGCCTCCACTGCGTTGCCTGTTGTCTGTTAACACTGAAACTTAGCAGAGAGCGGTGCAAAGCACCTTCCCCTTGGCCTAGTAGCTGGAAGTCTTAAGCATTTATTTATTCAGATTTAATTTGAAACAGTGACTTTTGTTATGGATTATATGCAGTGTTTTATTACTGAGTTCTCTAATGAAACGGGTGCTTAAGAAGTCAGAATTGCTCAGGTTACTGGTAAATGCTGAGAACAGATCTGAATGATAGGGCTAGTAAAGAAAAGGGTGCAGAATAACAGCAGAGTTCCTTTGGATTGATCATCAAATGGATCAGGTCTTCTTGTAATAGTCCGTGCTCATCTGCTCCAGTGTATAGTGTTTCAGACATCTGAAACCAGGTTCTTACCCGCCACAAATAGCTTCTCTTGCTCTCTCTCTGTAGCAGCTGATTGTTATTGCCCACAGTGGTTCCTGTGCCAATTAACATCTAAGAGAACTCATCAGAACGCTTGTTCTTCCTTTAAATTTTCTGTTCTAACACTACGTCTTCAGGCGTTCAGTACTTCAGACACAACGTGCGAGATATTTATAACCCTTGTATTATTACTGAGCTACACACCATGTCTTCAGTGACAGATTAAATGAACAGCACAAAATGCTGTGTTTCATCCATACATTTCAACAGATGTTTGAATGTTGGTTGATTTATTGCATGTCCAACTTGGATCTTACACTGTTCTCATTGTGGCTGCATATGGTTTATTTAATAGTACTTTACAACGATTTTTTTTTTATGACATTTTTCAGTTTGAAGGGTGCAACAAGGCATTTTCTAGGCTCGAGAACCTTAAGATTCACCTCCGGAGTCATACTGGGGAGAAGCCATACCTGTGTCAGCATCCTGGCTGCCAGAAAGCTTTCAGCAACTCCAGCGACCGGGCGAAGCATCAGCGAACACACCTGGATACCGTAAGCATTATTTCATACTGGGAGTTGCACTGAGTTTTCCAGTGGTCCTTGTACACAATCTGTTCTGCGATGGGAGGGTGACTTTCCCTTTTCATGAGGAGCATCTCGGAAAACTCAGCTGAAGGCAACTGTACTTTTGTTTTGAAATGTGTGTGCTTTGAGAAATGAAAAAGTCGTGATCACAGAAAGGCAAACTGAGCTGCTTACTCATCACAGAAAGGCAAACTGAGCTGCTTACTCATGCTGAGTAATGGGTTATTCAAGAACGGGTTTTGCAGGAATAAGTTGTTCAGCAAACTCTGCCATTGTTCTTGTTCCAGTAAGCGAAGGCAGCAGTAGGCTGAGGTATAGTATGAGTGAGAGCTGAGTCATTGCTGCTAAGCTGAGAGTGTGTCATTGTCTCCTGTGTCGCGTCAGTGAAGTCTGTTCTGAATGAAGGCAAAAGCAGTTCAGACAGCTCAGTGGAAGGTAAATGCATCTCACTTCTGGACATGATTTTGTAAAGGTAAAAATACATCTGTCTTGCAAGTGTATGAAATTTGTTAAGTACCCACATCAGAATTAACTGTAAGAAACAACTTCTTTTCGTACATACAGTTGGTAGATTTGGGCTCAACTCCTCGTCTTCTCACTTGTCTTGCAGAGAAGATGGGAGCCTGTCTAGTGTCCTGGGCTCCGATAAAATTAAATCACCATATTATGGGGAAGGAAAATAAGTAGACAACTCTGTAGACCCGTTAAGTTCTCGGCATAAAGCTTGTAAAGAGTAACAGGCAGAGTTGTTCCTTTGTCTTTTTCAAAGTGAATGTATGGTTTAAGGTATGGCCAAGTGTTTATGGGGCAGAACTTTTGAGTTTAATTGATATTTACTTTTTAAGCGGTTACACATTTCAGACCATGCAGCATTAAGGAATGTCTAATGTACATTATGCCTTGCAAAAACAAACAAGTAAGAGAAGCCAGTCAGTCACATTTTCCAAACTAAAGCACACTTACAATAACAATGTTTTATTTATTTGAAAGTCAACCTGAGATACTTGAATTTGTAATTAGTTCTAAAATGTGTCTCTTGCAAGTGGATATACTAAATTGGGTGCATAGTTTTGAAACGTAACTGCTTGAATCTAATAGATGTATTTTTCATTAGCCAAAGTCACAAATGGCATGTCATTTATTAGTTTTGAAAGACAATTTGAATGATTACCAAAATAAGCAAAAAAACTTATATCTGTTGATCTGTGCATTATTGAGGACAAATGTCTTAACTTTCTATTTTCTTTTCTTCTCTCTTTATCTCTGTCTTTATTATATGAAATGCTCATAAATCAGGACAAAGGTACAGTAATCATTTTCTACTAACTTTCTTAAATGTCTAAAAACATCCTCCACGCCATTCTGTTGCAGGTTCTTTAAACCTGTTTCCATAGTCCTACACCGCCGTAACTCCCTTCCACTTACCTGGATTAACTGAAATCCAGTGGTTTACCTTAGTGCATTGTGTGCTTACGTGAATGCCAAAACCCAGAGCTAGAGGACGGTGCTGCTGTACAGACTGCACGTTGCGTTAGCTCAGGGGACAGAATAACTGCCTGCACTGTCAAAGCAAATAGCCGTGAACCTTTTTAAGGGCGGTCAGATTTTCATCTAGTTTCCCTATCACTAAGCTGAATGATTCTGTCACTAATCTGAATGACACCAACGATTGGAAAAACGCTCTGCTAGTTTTTCTGCTGAGGGATTTGTTAACGTTTTCCATAGTTTTTCCTCAGGTGTCAGTTCTCTGTGTTCCAGACACTCTCAATAAATCTGCTTTGCCCTGTAACTTTCTGGGTAGGTGCTGTGTCAGCCTGTAAAGGTCATGAATTGGTGAATGATTCTATTATTCCTTCAGAAATTTCCTGCTGGCTGGACAGAGCGGCAATACTTATTCTCTGGAGGTACTTACAAAGAAAAGGGAACTGCTTGTTCCTTATTGAGTGCATTTGGAGTCGGTTTTAAAGCTTCTTGGTGTAGGTCACTCCATCATTTATCTTCTCCAGAAGGAGAATCTGTAAATCATTTCTGAGACTTACGGTGTATGCTGGTTTGATCGAATCTCTCCTAAATCATCCAGAAGTAGATCCTTCTCCTAGGTAGACACAGAACAAAGGGAACGTGCCTGTCCTTGTGGTAAAAAGGGCACGTCATCACTCCTCCAGGAGCGGAGCAACTTCTTTAAAGAACCTCACAGTCACTTCTCCCAAAAGCAGTGGGGTGTTTTGCCTTTTGTGCATCCCCTTTCTGGAACAAGGGGATTAAAGAATGTGACACTGAGACCATGACAAACCAGTTCTTACCTTTGGGAAGACACCAAAAGGATTTACTAGTCCAGGTGAGAAGGCAAAGGTAATGTTGACAGATGAGGCAAGAAAACGGAGAAGAAGGAATGTTCTGCTCAACTTCAAAACTTTGTGAGCTTTGACGTGCAGCTCTGTTTTGGTTACGTAATGACAAGTGCAAGTCCCTTTGTTCAACTTGGTAATTGCACGTTCCTTTGGAGATGTGCTGTACCAGAGAGATAACGTCTCGTTTGTTGGAAGTAGGCATAACTGAGAGAAGAACTTGGTGAGGCTTTCAGTCAACAGGACTCCAGAATCAGCAGCTAAATTGGAGCATCCTTTTTTTTATTTTTCTGTAGTTTATTTTCCTATGAGAAGAGTCTACTGGAACTGCCTGCTCAGAGCCAGATGGTTTTCCTAGGAAAGGGTGCTCATTGATAGAAGTTTCAAGCTCTGCCACATGCCAAAATCAGCTGGAAAGGTCTTCCTGACCAAATCAACAATAGTGGATTTTTCTTTCTGTGTTGATTTGCTCAGATATTACTGTTTGATGCAGGGTTTTTTGGTTAGGACTTCTAAAAAGAAAGGTATTGCTGTTGTTATTCAACACAGGAACAAGGTATGAAGGAAACCAAATGTGTGCTGTGCCACAAGTTTTGCTCTGCTGCAGAGCAGAACAGTTGTATAAACTATGCAAATCAGAGCTCAAAACCAGATACTGGGTGACCTCATGATCATCCAGTTACATCTCATTAGCATTTAATTCAGCCCAGTAATCAGTATCCAACATGACAGAGCAGAGTTGTGTCAAGTGCTGTCAGTGCTGGCGTGGAGTGCAGAATCCGAGTGACCAGAGCGGTGGTTCTGTTTGCATCGTGTCTGGCTTGTGTGCACAGAGGAGACAGAGCAAATCTGCCAACAGCAGAGCGAAAAGCTCATGCTTGACACCATGTTTCACAGAAACGGCCATCCTTCAGCGCTCTCTGTGCTGACTGTAGAGGGGCAGAGGAGTATGAAGTCTTTTCCCTTCTCTCACATTTACAGAAACCTTATGCCTGTCAGATTCCTGGCTGCTCCAAACGCTACACTGACCCCAGCTCTCTGCGCAAACACGTGAAAGCCCACTCAGCCAAAGAACAACAGGTGCGTAAGAAGGTAAGACCTGCTAGGCAAAAAGGGACACGTCCCTAGATCTCCTGGATATGGTCATTTTTAATTTACCTTTAGTTTGTGTATTTTCAAATCAGTGTTCTTCTGCAAGATCGCTGGAAGAAAACTTGAGTTGAGCTAACTGATGGTTTTTAATCACTGTTGTTAACCAGTTCGCTTTATAGTTTTACACTTTCAAGTCTACCACCCTGTAATTTCAGTTTGCCCCACAGTTTCTCTCTAAGCAGTTCTTTCCTGTTCGTCTCTCATACACAGGCCCAAATTCTGCTGTCACTGACATGTCTGTGTGGTGAGCCTCTGCAATCAGCTAGGAAATACATGTTGGCAGATCATCTAAAACACAAATGAAACTAAGCCAGGATACTGTGGAAATGTCAGGAAAGGAGCACTTGTAATAGATGAGAATGAAAACCCACCACTTTTCCTACCACATCTGTATTTTAAATGCATTTATAAATCATTCCAAACCCAGACTGCTAGTTATGTTTTCACTACTATTAGATTCAAATAAGTATTTTGGTTTCTGTGGGCTAAATCCTAAACTCATTATTAAATGGGGATGCTTACAGGCACCAGCCCAGCATCCAAGACTGGTTTATTTGTGCACACAGTTTGTAAAAAGATGACTGGGACCCTACAGAGCTGGTCTGTGACAGACCAGACCACGGGCATGCCTCAGGCCCAGGAGTGGAAGGGAATGCAAGCCTTAGCGAGCGATTACGCTTAGTTCAATAAGCAGTAATGATGTCTTCCCCCAGCTGCCTCGCCACTGCCAGGACCGTCGTGGATGAGACAGCAAGGCATCTTTAAAGGATGGAGGACAGAGCAGAAATGACAGCAGGACAGAGCTAGGGAGCAGCTAGTTTGGAGAAATGTCAGAGGTCAGAAGTAGAAGAACTGGAGAGCAAACAGAGGACGTGTAGAGAGAAGAGACAGTAGCAGAACCCAGGTGATCTTAGTCACAGAATTTGAGATGAGCCATAGAGGAGTGAGATGGATGTCAAAAAAGTCTAATTTTCCTTTTTGAATACAACTGTGATAAGTTCATACTGACTTGTCTTTGTGTCAGCCATGCCCCTGTCTTACACCCCATCCCTCCTGCTACTTCTCAGCATCAATTACACCCCCCACAGTTGTCACTTGGCCAGAATCGCCACTCTGAACTATGGTCCCCTTTCCTAGGACAGTTGTCTGTCCCACGGTTATTCCTGTAACCTCCTCTGCATCAAGTGCCTGCCATCTGAGCAACAGTTTCTGGAACACCAGTGTCCAGTTGTGCGTGCCATTTCAAATCGTCAAGTAACACTCATTACCTGCGGAGCTTTGTGCCTGGGAGTAACACTGTTCACACCTGGCACCCGTCCGGATGTCCGCAGCATCAAGTTGTTGTCTCTGCCTGGATCAGGATATAGTTATCCTTGATAACTTTAGGAATGCTTGATCCTCTGTGGTTTTTCCTTGAACTTAAAAGGTGACCGAAAATGCAGCAGATTTAAAGTGCATTTCCATCAGGCTCTCTTAAAAGGGACCAAAGCAAATCTGGATCATAAAGACTCCCCAAATATTTCACCTAAACATATCACAGGATAAAACCCCCAAACCTTTCCCAACTAAGTAAATCTCAGTGTTATTGTAGCGGTGACAGTCTGCTTTAGAAAAGAGGGGAGCAGACCGCTTACGCCCGCGTGCTCCTTTGTGGTTATAACTCGGCAAAGGCAGTTGTCCGTTGGTATCAGCTTCCCAGGAGTTTCAAGTGGAAATGACTTAGCCAAGAAAGAACAATTAACAGGCTACTCTGCCCACGTCTTGGTTGAGATATGCCACCAAAATGTGCCATCTCTGAGATAAAATAAAATGCCTCCACTTAGACTTACATCCAAGGAATCCTGAGTCTTTTTTTCATAGCCTGGAAGACGACTGCAGTGGTAATATTTGGTTATTCTGAAAGGCTTTACAAGAACAAAATAGGAGAAAGTTAGCTGTTAATTTAGTAGTAGTTTAAGTTTAATTGGCTGCAGATGCCCTTTGTGATCCAAATGTTAGATGTTTATCTGGAACCAACAAATGGTTGTATAGCAGAATTCTAAATAGGTTTGCCCAAACCTTTTATTTAGAATAACCAAACCCAGGGGAGATCGGTATGCAAAACTGTAAACGTAAAGACAATAACTATTTATTAATGGCTAAAGCATACGATGGCTGTGTGTGTAATGTGAGCACTATATTATGACAAAGGCTTGGCAACATCAGCCTGTTTGAAAGAGAATTAGAAATGCTTTTCTTTCTTAATTCTCCTCTCCTGCTGTTTTTAATATGATCGACATTGTGGTTTTCAAGAGTTTGCTTCAGACACTTTTGCCAAAGCTTTAATTTACATGGAGAACAGCTGACATATCGGTGATACCTCTTACACGTTACTGACAGCGTCTTACTCCCCCTGTACTAATCTGATAAGCACAAACGCTTTTCTTCCCCTATCAAATGTCTTTCCAAGTGTCATGGCTACAAGGTGACACAACCCTTTTGCCACAGAACCCAAGAAACTGCAGAAAGCCTTAACGTGCAGTTAAATTACTCAGGAAGGTTTGAAGAAACACAGGGTACATTATTTTCCGAAGCAAACCGTTGTTGATTTAAGATTAGCACACTGAACCTGGGCACTTAAGAAAACCAAAATTATCTCTAATTACAAATACCAAGAAATAGATATGTCCTTAATTACACTGAGTTCCCAAGAATGACATTTTGTTCCTTCCTTCTATACATAATCTTTAAGCAAAGAGACATATGAATTTAATTAGAAGTCATTTGGTTTACTCTGAAATAAAATGTTTGTTTTATCCTCCTCTTGCAGCTAAATTCATGTCCTGATATCGAACAAGATGTACTAAGTGAATGCTTAGCCATACAGCAGCTCCACACATCTTCACAGCACATTTTGGATGGGAAGTGTGGTAGATCTGTAGGCCATCATGATTTAATTACAGGTAAGGACCCTTCTAATGAATATGGTGCGAAATACGTCGTATAATACAGGATTTAAAACAGAAAAGCTTATGGGTCTGATTTGCCACTATGGAAGATGGAAAAAAAGCCACCAAACCAACAAATCCAATGAAATAAATTTGTGTGTTGTTTGCTAAGGCCTGGCTTTTTGTTCCCAGAGTTAGTCAGCCAAATAGCTCCAACTGATTTCACGTGAAGGGGCCGCAGCCCTGCTGAAAGTCAGCCTCCATCTGTTTGTTCTCTTTTAAAAAGTTTGCCTCGGCTTCAGCAGTGTGCAGGTGCGTGAGCTGTGCTGAAGCCAGCGGAGGGCTCTCGCTCGCAGAGGCGAAGGGGCGCAGAGGTAAGGTTTCCAGCACTTCAGGAGCTGCACAAAAGTTGACGAGGCTGTGTCTGATCATGCACTGTGTGACTGTAACAAATAATACGGTGGTGTATGAATGGAGCAAAAGCTTGAATTTGAAACGTCAAACATGTTGGTTTAATTATCTTTTTTAGTGTTTAATCTTTCTTTCCTTCCTTCTTGTCTGTCTTTTCTTTCATTCCTGTGGTTTGAGCACATGCTGGTCCCTTTCAGCGACCTGAGACTGTTCTGTACATTTTATAGGAAGAGAGAAAGATGGTTCCATTCCATTCTGCTGAAAATAAGATCTGGATTTGCAATTTTTGAACCTTAGCAGAAGATCCTGAATCAGGGATGTAGGAATCTCAGGTTCTTTGGTTAGCCAGAAGGGAGAAAGAGGAGCTCTCAGAGGCCATCAGTTTAATTGCAGCGTGCCTCAGCCTGTGAAGGCACCCATACGATTCTAGAGATGAGTGGGGAACCTTTCGCTTGGCTGTTTTCACTCCTATATCTCTTTCTGTCCATGTAACTGGTCAGCCCTTTTTCTAATTTTCATATTTATTTTGTTCTTGGCTCCAGCAGCATCATGTATGGGTGAGTTGCAAAGCCAACATTTAAAAAAACCCACTCCCTTGGATTAATTTTGCACGTGCAACTTTGAGATGATGTTCAATGAGAAGGGTACACGCGTAGACTCTTACTTGGTCTGCTCTGGTGGGACCTACTTTGGGACAACCATTTGTGTTGCTGCCTTTGAAACTTGTCTAGCTCTGTAATATCCATTTTGGGATGGCATAACCAATACTGTGCACAAAATTCTGGATTATGCCATTCACTTGATTTATAAGCAATCACTATTGCCATTTCTTGTGTCTTTCTGTATCGTGTTCCGGACGCATCCCAATATCTTACTCATTGTTTAATGTAGCTGCGTATTAGAAATGGGATGGATATATGGCAACATTTATACCTAGCACTTTGTATGGTTTGGAGAAAATCTCCAGGAAAAGATGTAACAGATATTAATCATTTATTCATTCTATAGCTGTTTAAATAATAATGTATACTAAACCCAGTTTTGGACAGACTAATCCTAATTTGGGGGCAGGAATGGGGAGTCTGGTACACCGCATCCTATGCCAAAGAGTGAAGGACAGTTTGAATCTTAGAATCACAGAATGGTTTGGGTTGGAAGGGACCTTTAAAGGCCACCTAGTCCAAGCCCCTGCAGTAAGCAGGGACATCTGCAACTGGATCAGGTTGCTCAGAGCCGTGTGCAACCTGAGCTTGAATGTTTCCAGGGATGGGGCATCTCCCACCTCTCTGGGCAACCTGTGCCAGTGCCTCACCACCCTCAGCATAAAATATTTCTTCCTTATATCTGGTCTGAATCTACCCTCTTTTAGTTTAAAACCATCACCCCTTGTCCTGTTGCAACAGGCCCTTGTAAAAAGTCCCCCCCAGCTTCCTTGTAGCCCCTTCAGGTACTGGAAGGTGCTATAAGGTCTCCCCGGAGCCTTCTCTTCTCCAGGCTGAACAAGCCCAACTCTCTCAGCCTTTCCTCATAGGAAGAAGTCTTGGGATTGCAGAGCAGAGCCAAGGTGAGACACAGAAAGACAGGGATGCCATTTCTGAAGATTTCGTGTTCAGACTTGGTCAATATTAGAAAATTATCAGTGCTGTTAAAATCCAAAACTGTTCATAAAATGATTTAACTTACACCTAAATTAATCTGTCTTGATTTAAGATGCACTTTATCTTCTTTCAGTTCCACTGTGAAGAAGAAGCTTGACTTGGCATTGCTAAATATGTTCTAAATTGATTTAGTAACTGAGTATGAGCTTTCCAGACAAACCCCAGCTTATTTATGTTGAGGTTTAGAGAAATCCAATGGTAGATTGGGATTAGAAAACAAAGGTGGCTGGTGCTCATTCCCGTGTGCCAAGGGAAGAGCTGATGTACTTTACTAATATATTTTGCTTTGTAAGAGCAAAATAATAAACCACTACAAATTACTTAGGTGAGAATCTCCTGCTTTTTTTCTCACTCCAGATCTTAAAAATAAAACCAAGAAATGCAGCCTGCTTGCCAGCTTCCATTCTCCTTTCTAGTGCAACTTGCACTAAAACGTTGGAATGTAACTGGTGAACAGAAAGGGAAATAACCCATCATTCTAATGCTGTTCCCCTGAGAGTCTCCACTCACAGTCCGTATGTGGCTCCTCGAGGAGTGGCAGAGAGCTTGGGGGACTTGGGGGATTATTTCCATGCTCTGCCTTTGTCGTCTGTGCTCTGAAGGTCCGTGAGGGCAGCACGTGCCCTCTGCTCCCACCGGTGACAGTCCCACGTAGCTGAAGCTGCTTGGCCTCTCGCTTCCAGGCAGGACGGGAAGGACCAGTGGCATTCCCCTCAGAACAGGCTGCACTTGAGAACCTCAGAAATAGCCTCAGATTTCAAGTGACAATAATAAAACAGGAAAAGAGTTATTGGCTTACAGATGAACAGCCCATCCCTAACCCCTCCGTGTCATTTCTGAGACCCTCTTGTGAAATTAAGGAGCTTATCTGTCAATCAGACTGGCTTTCTCTGATGTGATTTCGTTGCTGATTATTTCAATCTATCATTAGGCTGTTGTAAGAAACCTCGTAAATCTTCCCTGATACTTCCATCGGGTCACCCCATATGAGACCCCATCACATGCACAGTTATGAAAAGGTGCCAGGGAAAATAAATCAGGATTTGAATGACTGTTCTGCTGTGAGACAGAAGTTGCTTCACGGTATGTGTAGGACAATTCCATCGGCAAAACTGTTCCTCTGTCGTTATTCAGGGCATATAAGCTGAAGGGCTGCCCCTTACAGAATTACAGCATAAGGGCGTTCCTGCTGCCCCCTATAGTCTGCAAAGATTGCACATTTGCTCCTGAAGAAACCGGCTGGAACACTCTACATAGGATCTCTCTGGATAAATACAGTATATGATGTCCTCTTGATTCCACTTGAAAATATAAAAGTATTCATGGTTTGGGTTTTTGTTTTGCGTTTGGGGGTTTTTTGGTGGTTTGGTTTTTTTTTTTTTCCCCAAAGAAACCACATTATTAATGTAGAGAGCTCTGGGCTTTAGGGATCACTTGGATTCCGGGAGAGTTTCAGCTTTGTCTTTCTCCAAGCTAAAGCACATTTTAAATATGTCAGGGATGAAAGCCAATTGCAGAAAAAATGAAATATTTAAAAAGCTCCCATGCCTTGTGTCCGACTTCAAAGCAGGTTTGGCTTAGGACTGGGTAAGAGAGGGAGCAAAAGAATGTTTTGCAGTCAGAGGATCCATTGTTTGCTCGGATCTTCCTCCTTTTTCCCTCCTCATAACTGAGATGCTGCGTGTCTGCTCACATTCAGTTCTAGCTGCGCCCAAGAGCTCGCATCCCTCTCCCTGCGAAGGAAGTGTCTCCATTCAGGTAATTCCACTCAGGCATTTTCTCTGGGCGTGTTTTATTATTGTTTTTCTGGTCTCAGCATAAAGCTGGGGTGAAAAAAGCTGATAGTCACAGATGCTTGGAGTACTGTTTTGGCAACAGATGTTAAGGTTAAAGGCCGAGCCGTTTAAAATACTGATTGATGACATGTATTTACAAGCTAAGATGGTCAGTGCATGAAGAGGCCCTGAATTGCATTGGGCTTGCAGGAACAGTCATTTGTAACAGCCCCAGAGGCCTTCTGTGTGACTTCAGGTGCTCAGTATTATAGCTCACTGCTGAAAAACAGGAAGAAAAACTGTAAAAAAGTGACACTTGAGAAGTATTGAAAATTATAGTGAGACAGGAATATCAACTTCTCCTCCGCTCTTGACTTCTTCCATTGTGGAGGGACATAGTTTCCTGGGCAAAGGGTTCCACGCAGCAAAGACTCTTTCTCTCCCCTCCAACAACTCTTCCTTCCTATGGCTTGGCAGTGGGAAGGACCTTCTACACCTTCATATCAGCCGATACCTCCCGCATCCCTGAACAAGGCAGCTCACTCGCTCTCTTTCTGGATAACTGCCACTGCCAATATTTCCTTCTAAAAGCACCATCTTTGTCTTGACACCCACGAACATGCCATTAGTCGTCACGGAATCAGAGTGACGGCAGCTCCGAACTTTGCGTGTCTTGAGTCTGGAATGAAAATGTGCATCTATCTCAAAACGTCTTACGGTCAAAGTGAATTCCAGTAGCAGCGTAAGTGGCTGATGGCCAGTAGCGCACTGGTGGTGCCCAGCGCAGTGGGCCTGCACAGTGCCTGTGGCCAGAGAAAAGTCTGTCCCGCTGGAGGAAGTGAAGTTTGTCTTTTGTCAGAGTGCCCTTGTTTTGCACAGTGAAAGATAAACAAATTTTAACTTTAAATAAGTACCAGTTTGGTTCTCGGTGACTCAACAGGAATGACTAATGTCTCACTGCAGACTCACACAGAATCTCCTAGTAAATCCCATCTTCCACTGTGTATGTCACATGGCCCTTGAAGTACTCTTAATTGCAGGCAGACACCCCATGCGAGCGACGCGAGTGAACCAGAGGGACGATGCTTTGTCCACCCTGGCTTGTGTTTTGGCTTTCTCACTAGCCAGCAGCTTCAGTGGTGGACGCAGCCCTCACCCAAATGGGGTGCTGCCTCAGAGCCTCGCTGCCAGCCCAGGAGCACACATCGCTGCGTCTGCAGCTCCCCCCGTTCCTCCCTCTAGCCCCGTGTCTGGGGCTGCACACTGTACAGATGAGAATCTGGCTATAGTCTCCTTTCTGTAGAAGCAAGGCTTATGAAATCAGTTTACTTGCCTCTGTCCACATGCGTGTCAGTCCCCTTCCCTGCTGTATGTTTTAAAGTCCATTAGCCAAGCTCAACCACCTTTGTCAGATGCCTCCGAGATAACTGTGCTCTGACAAGTTTCATGAGTACTGGCAGCTGGACACCAGAGAGCAGCACCTGAAGTTAGTGTTCCCACTGCGGGGAGGCAGGCAGGGCTCTGCTGTGACACGGTGCTTGGCAGCACACACATGGTGCCCCGTTCGTCCAGGTGTCACAGAGGACGTGGGGACGGCTGGGTTTCCCTGACGTGCTGCGGGCGATGCTGTGGTGGGCTGCCCATCCGGCAGTGCCGTGGAGAGGGGCTGTCAGTGCGAGGGGAGCCAGTGGTGGCAGGGCTGAGGCAGCACAAGCTGCAGTGTGGAAGCGGGGTCGGGGGCACAAGAGATGCCACATGTCAAACTGAGGGTGAGCGAGGGCGTTGGGGTAAAAAAAGATGTAGGAAAAGGGAAACTCCCTGATGAAGAAAGCCTACAAGCCTCGGCACAGGTATGCTCTGAGCAGGGGCCCTGTCCAGAGAAGGGGTGATCAGAACGTCAAAAGATGGGTAAACTCAGGGTGGATGGAAGAAGCCCTACTTTAAATAGGAGAGGAGATCCAGAGCAATGCATCTCTTCAAGCCCAGGAGTGGGCAGGGGGTGTCCACCCACCCTGCTAATACCAGAGTGGGAAAAACGGCAGAGTGGTTGGGCATGGCAGAGAACTCAGGGCTTCTGGTTTCATTTGGGTTTCTGATGGGGTGAGTTTGAGCACATGAGACTATGTGGGACTCTCTCCTGGACATCGGGATGTGTGGGGTTGAGTTTTTTTAACATCTTCTTGCTTCTCTAGAGGGACAAGCTGCTTGTAGGTACTCTGCTCCTCTCATCCACCTCGAGCAAAGAGCTGAACTATCCTGGGGAGCTGAGACAGTATGGAAGGAGCCAGGAGAGACTCTCAAACATTCATGAACTGTTCAGGGGTGGGATTGTAAGATAAAACATTTGAGTATCTTTACTGGCCACCATGCTGCTAAAACTACTGTCTGAGTGGTTTTGAGCTTTTGGGGCGAGTTACTGACAGGGGCCAGTAAGGGTCTGCTGGCCTGAGAGAGCAGAAACATCTCTGTTGAGGATTTCCTCCAGGCTGCGCTGCCAACGTACCTGAACTGTGGGTTTTTGGAGATAGAGCTGGAGTGAGAAGTGACACTGTACAGTCAGGTCAAACTGGTATTCGGCTCATCTTCCAAGTAATGATAGTGAATGTGCGAGCAGTGAGGATCTGGGGGAAATGGAAACCACTGTATTATAAAGTGGACTGAAGCCATCAGTAGAAAACCGGCATTTTCACAAGGCCAACGTACCTGAACTGTGGGTTTTTGGAGATAGAGCTGGAGTGAGAAGTGACACTGTACAGTCAGGTCAAACTGGTATTCGGCTCATCTTCCAAGTAATGATAGTGAATGTGCGAGCAGTGAGGATCTGGGGGAAATGGAAACCACTGTATTATAAAGTGGACTGAAGCCATCAGTAGAAAACCGGCATTTTCACAAGGCAGCATCCTAGCTACTGACTTACTGTTATCGGA